TATAACCCAATGGAGAAATTATTAAGAAATTAAAAGACGGCATACGATGTGACACGGTCTAGGAAGGAGATGGGCCTGTATGTGATGGGGCTGGTCATGTATCTGATGAGCCTGCGAAAATGTAAAATTATGTGGTCTTGTGTGCTGGCTGCTGACTTGTTCACCTGCAGCAAAGCCAATAGAACCAGCTTAAAAAGTGGTGGGCTGCAAGCAGTAATAGTCCTGGATTGAGTTAGCAGGGTTTGGGGCAGAGGGAGGGATTTTCAGCATCTGTAGTTTTGTCTGGCATAGGTGCTGCATTGGAGTGATTGATTTGACATTAAGAACTGGAAATACTTCATGGCTTAATGTTCAAGATTTTTATTCTGTCTTCACGTGTGAATTGCTTTATTGGGAATTGTTCTGTAAGAGGGGATTTGGGGTCTGCATATCTCAAAACCCAAGAGAGCAGGGAAGTGAAAAGGCTCTGGGTTCTGCCCTCTAAGCCCAGGCATTCCCAGGGACCAACTAACCCAGCCAGAGCCCTGTATTTTCAGCATTCAGACTCACCCATGAAGAATTATCCTTTGCAATCAAAACTCAGAAAAATGGTGCTTGTGTCTTTTCTAAATTTTCTTTGAAAATAGGGTCCCAGTGTAATTCAACTTGCAGCTATGTCTCGTGAGGGCTGCGCTGTCCTTTCTGTTGCAGAGAGACTTTCTAACACTGCTGATTTATAAGACATCAAATCTTGGGCCAAAATACACAGCTAAGGAGTCTGTTCCATAGTATGACATACTAAATCATGTCCTTTGCCTCTGTGCACATGAAAGGCCCAATGTTTTCCTCCTCTGTGAGTTCTGAATTCAGCCCTCCTTCCTCGCTGTCAAAATCCCCTTGATAACTTCTGTGTTGCTCGCTGTTGCTTATTTCCTTCACCTCCACTTTTAAAGAGTAAAGCCATGACAAAATTCGCTGTCTGGCAGATGAGGACAGCATACAAGTCCAAGCCTGTGCAGTCCCTGGGAGTGGCACCGGGTCCCAGCTACCCAGCCAGCACGACAACGGGGGCTGCCGGATGCCTGGCCAGGCCAGGGGCAGCACTCGCTTATGTGGCCCCACTGTCTTGGAAGTGCCGTGGGAGCCATGGGTTTGGATGAAGATACTGGTTAGTGATAGCTGAGCAAGCCAAATCAGAGCCTGGTTTATGTTGTCATTTGATTCAGCCACAGCAGCGTGTAAGGAGCTGGTGAATTTGAGGTTTGTACCTGAGGGACCCGTAAGCGAGAACAACTCTTGGTGAGGGCAGTTTAGTAAAGCCAAGTAATTATCTAGTAAACGAGGTCCTTATAGAAGTGCATGAAGATTGCATTGTCCCTTCTGATTCCTAAATCCTTGTCATAAATGCATTCAATGTGACAGATCTTACATTACTGTCATGATCTTAGAAAGCAGTCATTGCTCAACTGCCTTATGGGGTTTCATTCTGGGTCTTACATAAACTTTTGAAAAAATGCCCAAGTGCCTGATTTTCTAAGGTGCAAGACATCTTAGGATAGGTAAGTACCTGTTAAACGCTGTCTGTAAAGGAAGTTAGATGCCCCAAATCAATTACTAACTTAAGAAAAAAAAAATAAAATCCTTATTTGTTTTGATGCTCAGCTATTTTGTTAGGTTGATTTGCATTTCCTGATTGCTGTATTAATTCTAACGTATGAACATTTAAATTATTCTGGAATAACGTTTACTGCATCTTTCCGTGAGCATGCTTTTCCAAATGCAACAACTGCAATAATCTGCAAAGTGTTTCAGTCTGCCAGCTCAAAAAGAGTGAAAAAAATGGAAGTATTGGTGGTGATGGAGAGCATGAGAGTTAGCTAGGTGCACTGTTTTTTGGAGCAAATGGTAAAGAATACATTGAATTTCTTAGGTATGTGCTTTGATTCCGCAGAGACTGCTGGTGGGCAGGACCAAAATAATGATTTTGTCTCCTGCTGAATTGCAGTAAGGGTCAGTTGCATAACTATTACAGAGCTTTTAGAAATGCCCGTCTGTAATCCCCAGGTGTTGGGTGATGAGGTGAGCAGACCACCAGAAGGGTGGATGACGTTCTCAGCCCAGGTAGAAGCCTGCCAGCGAGCAGCGTGTGGCCAAAAGCTGTGAAAGGGTGGTGCCTTGCCTACCGTGGTACTCGATCTCACAGGTTCACAGGCCAATCCTCTTGTGACGTAAGGAAGAAGGAAAGTCTCGCATTACTGTTTGCCATACTGTAGCTGTGGATGAAAAGAAAACTTGAGCCTTTAGGACTGGCAATAACACTACTTTTATTGTTTCTGTTGAAGGACTATTTTGAGTAAGATAAATTGATGGGCTGAGCACAATAACCTTCAGTATCTCAGATACTTAGTAGGCAAGCACTACTGAATTGAGAGAAGAAATTAAGCTAAAATGTAGAAAAAAGGTTACTTGGCAATATCATAGTGTTTGTAAAGAGGAGAAAGAAGGGTCAGGACCTTAATGAATTTTGATTATAGAATTTTCTGTAAGTCAGTCATTGCATGAATAGAAAAAATCTAAACCAGAATTTGGTGTCATACTCTAATAGGGATTGCCTAAAGCAAAACAGGGTTTGTTTGGAAGCAAACAGCAGAGAATAGCAAAAGCATAGGTACTGTGTACAAACAAAATTGGGCTCCCCAGAGGCAGGCAGTGCTGGTCATAGCTCAAGCAGAGACGATCTGCACAAGATATGTGGTAGAGATGAAAGTTGGTGTTCATTTTTCTTGTTGTCTGGAGTAAACATACTTGGCAGTGTGGAAATGTTGAAAAAAAAAAAAAAAAAAAAGTGCTGTGGCCTATAATTACAGTTCTGCCCAGCTTGCCAGTGTGATTCCAGTGGGTAAATGAATTTTCCTCTGTAATAATAACCTTATTAATTTCTGACCTTTGAAGAAAAGAAGAATTCATTGATTGCCAGTCAGATTTTTGCAGTGGATTCTGCAGTGGTAACCACTTGTATGGCTCAGCTAATTGCATCTGGTGCTTTGGGTAGAATAGGGGGTGCAATACCAAAGCCAAAAAAAGTGTTCATCCAGCCCAGCCTGCAGTAAAATCTGTTTTTAAAGTAAAGGCCATATTAAAGTAAACATCATCTTGTAGAGCCTGAATTTTGCAAATTAATTCAGTGGACCATGGCAACCAAATATGGTACATTTCTGGTAAACACAATTTGATTAGAAATACTTAATTATGGTACCTAGGAAAATGCAGTCTTAACAAACAGTCTTCCCCCCCACCCTCCATGCTAAAATTTTAGCTGTTAGTCAACGTCCTACCAAATACAAAAGACTCGGTAAAATCGTGTTAGTAAGTGTGTGCATGTGAGCATTTTTGCATTGGAGACCAGTACACGTCCATATGGAGTTTGATTTCTTGAACCCACTATAAACTCCCCAGGGTGGGGAGCTCACTTGCTGCCTGGAGGATGCTTTTGGCCTTCCTCACCGATGTAGGGAGCTGAAGTTAAAGATACTGGGGGAAGTTTTCACACAGTTCAGTGTATAGTAAATACTAAATAGTAATTTAGTTCACTAAAAATAGTAAATAAAGGAATACTTCAAAGGTCTGTATTTTCTTAGGATTTGTGCGTTATTTTCTATTACTAATCATGCATCTCGAGGGGATTTAAGAAAAACAGATTCACGGTGATGTGTGCTAGTTACTTGTTTTTCTTTTCATTCAGTGGAGAACAGAACTAACAAAATCTGTTTAATTTTCTTTTTACTTCCAGGCACTGATTTTTGAATCTCTATTGTGCCAGTTCATCCCAATAAGTCTTAAAACATCATTATTTTGGGTGTTTTAAGATACTTAGAGCCTGATTTCACTGCTCTGACTATATGAGGCATAAGTGAACTATTATTCTGACATAACTCCCAAATACCTCAACATTTCTAGCTGAAGCTAAGCTCTAACAATGATCAAAGTGGCACATCAGTTGAATGGGTTGAAGTTTTGTGGAGTTGAGATGGGGTTTCTGTGGTGTTAATCCAGATGCTGTGCTATTCAAATGTTGAGCAAATCAAATTATGGTAACTCTGCAGAGAAATAATTGCTGTTTCAAAGTAGGCAATGGGTTGCCTTTTGTATTATAAGTTATTCTGCTACAAATTAAAACTTCTAACCACTAAGTATGCATAAAGCACTTCCCTATTTATCTTTCCTGTTATTTTTCTCTATTCTGCTTAAATTTAAAAACCAAAAACGAAACCACCTCAAAACTAAACTTCTCTGATGATGGGTTACATATAGTTGATAAGATCAAATTAACAGATGTAGCTTGCAAATAACCAGTTGAACTAAATTTTTAACATCATTGACCACAGAAAAAAAAATGTTTTATCTGTGGTTGCTTGGTGCTCTATCACATCAGTTCCTGACTTTATAGATTTTGAGGAGATGAGCTCGTGATTTTGTGTGAGGATAAGAAGTTGTCATTAGACTCAGTTCTGCAATCTGTAGGCTTCATCAAAGTACTCCTGAACGTACCTGATTGTGTGCAACTATTCCTGCTGGAATCTGTAGGAGTGTCTATGCCCCTCAACAAAATCAGATGCTAAGCTGCTCAGCTCAAGTGAGAGCCTGTTGCTGGCCCACCTGTGAGACCTGTTATTGAATGGCCCGTGTACCTGTGCATGTCTGAGGCAGATGATGGAAAATATATATCTAAAATTAAAGAGTATTTTGAATCAATTTTTTCCAATGTTTAACTTTAGTACGATATCTTGTGTATTTTTTAATCTCTCTTCCTTACAAGGTAAGTATTTAAGAAGCACTGTGGTCCTTTCTGGATTTTTTGGCAGTGTTGTGTTAGAATCATTTTCAGCACGGTCTGTGTAAATGGATGTGGATGTGTGTGCATGCACGCTTATGTAGAGCTAGATCTGTGTTGATATCTGAAATAATAGATGTGAGGGTTTTAACCTTGTAACTGTTACGAGATCTTTATGTGTCTGCTTTAGGGTCGACCCTATCCCATATGACACTCCAAAACCAGCGGGCCACACGCGATTTGTCTGCGTCTCAGATACACACTCCAGAACAGATGGCATCCAGATGCCTTATGGGGACATCCTTCTCCACACGGGCGATTTCACCGAACTGGGACTGCCCTCAGAGGTTAAGAAGTTTAATGACTGGTTAGGTAAGAAATTACTGCGTTTTGGTGACCCCAATTAACCTCTCCTGTCCAAGTGTCAGTCACCGCCTCCTAATTGAATTAGAGCACTTGAAAATCCACCCCCACCCCCCCCTTACCTCACTTGTCCTCGTGTGATGTGCTGTTTCTAGCCTCAGTATGATTCTGTTAATTAAGACAAATTTAGAGACTTCGCTGTATTTCTGCATTATCTTAGGGGAAAAGATTGTCATTCCACAGGAAGGACTGTGTAGCCTTTTGTGTGCGCTGAGGGGGTGGTGGCACCTCATAGGAATGCGTACAGTGTCCCATTAGGTCATGCTGTAGGGTTTTATATCAGCAAACAATACTTTTGGCTGTACTTTGGGTTTACCATAATTTAAAGCAGTGCTGAAAACTACCAACATATTTGGAAATGATGGAAGCCCTTCCCACAATACAGGATGGTAAAATCAATAATACTGTTTGGAAGAGGAAAGGTTTTTTTGAGGTGGTATTCACATGATGCCCCTTTGAGTTAGAGTACCGGCATTTTAACTTTGAATGCAAGCACTCAGTGCCTCTTTGGAAGAACACCTTCCATATTCTGCTATATTTGATAGCAGTGCCTTGACACTGTATTGCTACAGTTGAGGGCAATTAAATTGCAACAGCAGAAGACTAAAATAAAGGAGGGGAACTTGTGCAGGATGCTCCTGTTATAAATGCTCCTGTTAGGCAGGCTGTGTACTGCCATGTCACCGCTTGCACTGGCAATACTCAGAGGTGAAGGTGGCTTGAGCAGCTGATCTTCAAAACCTGTTAGAATGAATTTACAGCATTGTATAAAACCCTTTGAAAGCAAAGCTTTGTCATCAGGCTTCACCTCCATCATTACGCTTTCTCTCGCTTGCTGTATGGTGACCACATCTCTGCATGCTCTTAATAGCATCATTTTATTCCATTAGAGTTCCTTGGCTGACCCTTCAAGAGATAGGTAAAAACCATCTGGATTTACAAAAGGAATTTTTAAATAGAAGAGCTTCTACATTCTCTCTCCATCTTTTCACCCTCCTTTGGAGTATGGAGAAAATTACTCTTCTTCTTTATGACTTCCATATGACTTCCTCTCATTTGCATAACCAAATTTTAAAGAATATTTTTCCTTCTTTTCATTACTGTGCATGTGGGATTGGGACTTCCAGATACTGCCGTATTACTGCAATTTAGTTCTATAGTTGTTATTGCTAGAAACCAGTACTAGATTTTATGGGCACAAAACTGTCCTTTTTCTGGGAATGTAACTGCAGGACTGGGAGGTAAGAAGTGGTAGGAGAAGTAGGCAGATACGTACATACATTGAGGGAAGAGACACAGTAGGAATCGTCTTCCTCAACTTGTGTTCCGTGATAACCTGTAAACGTTAGTGTTGCAAAGGAGGAGTGGAGGCTGCACAGCTTCACTGGGAGCGGGTGGTGAGGTCCTTCAGTCCTCCTGGGGTAGCTGGGCAGCACTGCTCTCCCGTGAGGTTCGGTTGTTAGAGATGCCAGGCAGCTCCAGAAAAGGAATTGCTTTCTGGAGAGCATAGGCCTCCAAAGTCTGTCCTTTATACACTGCTAAGAGCAGTGTCTGCCTACCAAAGCTCCTCTTTGGACTTTGAGTCACTTTGTCAGTGTTTTGCTGCAGCCAGAGCCCATGCCTAGTGCTTGGCATTCGAAAATGCACCCTCAGTACTGCAGAAAGCCAAAACAAGTAAGCTGCTACTGTGTTCTCATCCTTTCATGGGGAATGTTGCTGTATTGACAGCCACTTGTCATTCCTTGTATGAACAAGTGTTTCATGATGATGTTGTTTTATCACGTAGTACCTTGCTTTAACATTTGCAAGAGAAGAACTATAACCCTTTGTATAGGTTTTGTTCCAGTCTCCTTAATTTACCATGGGGCTTTCTTAGCATATATATAGTTCTTATAGAAGTCAGTATGATGGTTATCTGAGAAAGCAGATTTTGCATTCTTTGGCAGTCATTGTCATTGAAACTGGAAGCTTTGACTGTGTGAGGACCTATTGGCTTTGGCCTCAGGCTTTCATATTTCAGGTACAGAGAAAACTTCTTTTGTTATTTCATTCTTTGGGCTTGTTGTTTGGGGTTTGGTTTTTGGGTTTTTTTGTTGTTTTTTTTTTTTAATGCTCAGAGTCCACTTGCATTTTCATAGCTATGACAATACCAGTTATTAGGTTTCTGGCAAAAGGTGAGGCAGCAAATCTGTGGAATCTTGTCACATTGGTGAATAACTTGCTCCAGCGCTGTCCTCGCCTCATCTGAAATCAAAAAATCAAACACTGCGAAGTCAGTTTTGAAGTGCCCTTTTGCCACCTTATTTCAGGCTCCTATCTGCAAAATGAGAATAATCGCATTTTACTATATACAGTGTGTATTGTGAGGATTAATACCTTCAAGGTTGTGAGATGATATGTAATAGCTTAAAAAAATACATACCAGTGGCAGACAGAAACAAGCAGGGTTCCTTTTTCTGCTGCTGTATAGTGGTAGGCATCTTTTTTTCATCATAGTCGGTAGGAACCTTATTCCAAAGCAATGCACTGATAACTCCCATCAAATACAGCGCTGTGCTTCTAGAAAGGGGTTTTCGTATCTTTTGCGTGTATGGTTTTCTCCACTGGCAATCATGTTGTAAAACAATAATGAAGGCGGCATCTGTATCATTTGTACCATGAGGGAGAGAAGTGAGATCAAAGCTAGGCTTTATTGCACAGTTTACTTTACCTATTCTGTGGTAAAAAAAAAACCCAACAGGGCCTAATCTCCACTAGGATTATATAATGGGATAACTAAGACACAATAACTGTCCATAATTTTCTTGGCAGTAAAGCCAAGGGAAAAGGTAAAAGATTATTCTGACCCCCCCCCGCCTCTCTTGTGTTTCACTGGGTGTTAGATGTGCCGGAGTTACAGAGGACTGAGAGCACCGCTGTCAACCCTGCAGTTTTATGTTTTGTGGGTCTTGCATCCCTTTGCAGCTCTCCGGGTATCCCACCTCAGCAAAATGTTCAGGATCTTGTCCATCCATTTCATTAGCGTTCATCCTTCTTCCTTGTCTCTGCAGCCAATCACAGAACACGCTTTCCGTGCCTTCCTCCCCATTCCTCCTAGCTTTCAGCCCATCCTGCAACTTTTACTAGTTCTTACGCTTTTTCCCTTTGGCTGATAAATTTTCATTATTGGTTTTGCATGAAAGTAGTCTGGGCTTATACATTGAATGGCCTCTGTGGTCACTTAGTGATTACATACACTGGCTGAGGTAATTTATTCACTTTGTTTTGGTGTGAACATGTCCCTTGGGTCTTGTAACTGCTGTAATCACTTGACCTTAGTGACTGTTAAATGCTTTAAACACGGTTATTTTAAATTTATAATTGTTTTCATTAAAAATCTCTTATAGTAACTTAACTGACCTTGCAGTAAACACAACATTATGTGCTGAGGAAGAATTAAGACGTTATTCTATGCCCAATATATTTCCTACTGAATGTCTCAACATACTATTATTATCACTGTTCATATTTTTCCCATCCATTCTCATTCAGTCATATATGGGAAATGAAATACAGGAATATCTAATTATAGCTCTGTCTTCGTAGTGCAATATTTCCTTTCCTGCGTGATGGGAAGTGATTGAATAACTCATAAGAACTGAAGAGAAAGCGAAGATAAATTCAGGCAGATAGATCTTTAATGAGTAGCAATATGTTTATTGTGTTCAATTAGTATGGGCCTGGATTGTGCATATCCTTACTTGTGTGAATAATTTGCAGCTGGTTTAGTAATTTGTATCAAATAGCCAGTTTTGCTCTTTTTTTGTCTGATGGTTATCCCTTACTGTGTTCATTTTTGGTTTTGGGTTTTTTTTCCATGCAAGATTTCTAATATAAGGCATATTACTGGACAAACTAGGCAAAATTCTTCAGTGGTAGATGAAAGTCCAGCAGGTGAAATTATTATTGCTGGTTAATGTCTGTGGAGCTGAGAATAAAATTTGACTGATTCTCGTCTGAGCTGTTGGGGATTTAGCAACTGACCTTTTCATATTTTTTTCTTTCGTGTCTTGCTTTTGTTTTGTATGCGCATTTCTTTCAGTTTCTGTGACTGGCAGAACTTTGTGAATGGTTTAGTGGCCAAATACATACATACGGGTTTGTACCAGAACAAATACTTCTTTACCTTTAATATATGCTTGCTTTTAGTATAAAAGTTGTTGGTAGATCCAAAATAAAAATTCAGCTGTTTTCTGTGGTGTAGTTCCTCCATCACATTACTTTAGATGAGAAGAATTATTATACTATTTTAACATGGAGGTTTTCTTGTTACACTCTGCATATATAGATGTGGTCCTCAGAAACGTCAGTTCTTTTAAAATTCTTTTTTGTGTGAATGTTTAGTTAGTGTAAATAGCAGCTGTATCTTGGAATTGGTGGCTGTTAGGTGAAAAAGATGACAAAATGGGAAGAGTACTGGAAATGTGGTGTCACTCTTGGAGGTACGGACAAGGCACTGGCTGCCAGTCTGCATTTAGGTTTCTGCTTTAGTACTGCAGAAACTTGAAATTATATTAAAAATCGTAAGCCAGACACCTGCCAAAATAGTGTTTGGTCATGGAGATGGTATAATTTAATCTGAAAAAAAATGAACTGTAACAAAATAGTATAATAATAAAAGCAAGTTCTTTTCATATTAGTGTTTGAAAATTCAGGCTCACATTCCTCTTGTATCCTTCCTCAGTCTCTCTGGTGTGGCTCAGTTACTCCCTCATTTTATCTAGGCTTCATCTCCTCTCCAGGCATATTTCATTTAGGGTTTTGTGTAAGCGTGTTCCTTTTGCTAATGTACACTGAAAACAGTTTCATTCTGATGAAGCATTTGTTCTTGAGAACTTTTGCTCTGTAAAAGTGTATTTCTGATGTGAATTATTTTAGCATCTGACATGATATTTTTTTATAAAAACAAA